TGTTGTAGAAAGCTTCCAGGTTTTTATGAAAGCAACTTTGATGTTGTCCTCTTTTAATACCCTTGTGATTTTAGTCCACAGATTTTCCTCATTTGGGCATACCCAAAAACACTTCTCTGTTTTAATACTGCTTGTAGCTAGTTCTGGGATATCTGCACAAGGAGCGTGACACCAATTTCCACAAAATGACAATTTATCCATGTGGAAGCCCGTTTGTTTGACTGACCACAGACTACACACAGCTTCATAATGATGTGAATGGTTGATTTACTGCAATTCTACTAGCAACCTCTTGAATATTATATTAATAACCTTAAATGAAGCTCTAGCTATTTGTATTTCTGTTTCTAACTCTTTTTGTATATTGGACAGCTTACCGTCACGTTCCTGATTTTTAATGTTTGTGTTTATAAGGGCGCCTACAAACCCATCCGTTTACAGTCTGCTTTATTGTCCAACGAAACTGTTTGAAACCAGTCCCGGGTTCGGACCAGTCAAGGGTTCGGACCAGTCGATCTGCTCTGATCAGTGGGTCACTTATTTAAAACATACTGGTCGGTGATTTGAGCTAACACATGAAGGATCTACTGGAAATTATCTACCCGAGTAATATGTGATTTGACTGATACAAAAGTATAACTTGCGTGTTGAAGAGCCGGTGATATCTGGCAGCTCCTACAATGACGTACAGTCGACCTCTTTGTTTATCAATCGCTGTATCTGGCTTTTCTATTTTTGTTTTTTCCGTCTCCACCACAATAAATGCTATATTATCACTATAGTTGACTGGTGCAAATTTTGGAGGAAGGACGCTTTTTCTGTAGTAATAATTGCTTCTCGTTGTGTATATTGCGACCGCTGGTAACTACAGGTTATATGAAATTCACAGTAACGTCTGGTATTTCAAGAAAAAGAAACTAATGAAAGTCACTCCACTCCACTAAGTACCATTATAATACTGGTTAGTTGCTACTACAACACTGTATTCTGCTATTCACTGGTATCACTAGATTTATATGCGAGTACACTAGCAAGCCAGGAAGATTATTAAAAACAGCTGACCTGTGGTAAGTTTCTGGCGACTTCTGGCACCTGCCTCTATAGGCTTATCACTTCATTTACAAATTCACCTGTTTTCAAATGACACTTTAGCCTTTATCATAAATTTATACTAGGGAGCCACTGTAGTATACACTATACACTATGTATACTCAATGCTTTCAGGGAGACTTTCTTTCCTCTGACACAAAGTTCAATTATTATTATTTTTTTCACACGGGAAACAGGCCTATGATTCCCCTCTGGCAGTAAACTCTGCTAGGTAATGCACACTAATTCTCCTTTTTTGACTCAGTATATAATGTTTTCCGCCCAAGATTGGTTCCAGGCGCTAGAGGGATGTATCGTATAGGATTGATGACACAAAATAAAGTTCTAGCACGTAAGAGCGACCGTGAAAACAAGAGAAAAACCGGGACAACGAGGCACGCTGACAGTCACGCTAAGGAAAGGTTAGGCTCCAGTCAGCTGTGAACTTCCTTACCGAGGCCTCGTCATGGAGTCTAAATGAGACTTTGTTGTATTCAAGTGGTGGTTTACTAATGTTTGTCAGGAGGAAGGTAGGGTAGTGGTCTGTAGTGCTATCTGTGATTATCCCTGATTTAAGGGGGGCTAGTATATTGGTCCATATGTGGTCTATTATGGTTGCACTTGTCTCAGTGAGCCTGGTTGGTTTAGTTATTGTTGGTATGAGAAGTGTGTTGTTCATATTGTTGATGAAATCAGTTACAGGCTGATCATCTAGTAAGCCAAGGTTGATGTTGAAGTCTCCAGCTAAGAGAAGGTGGTGCTTATTCATTTGTCTGTTTGTTATTAGTGACTTTAATTTCTCACTGAAATTTGGGATGTTTGTGTGAGGTATCCGGTAAATGGCACCGATTGTTATAGGCGTCTTAAGGTTTTTTACAGTAAAATTAGCAAAAATGTATTCCCCATATTCATCACTAAAGCAAGTGGTGCTAAGACAAGATAATTGGTTAGAGTAATAGATTGCAATACCACCTCTGCTCTGGACCTATTAATTAAATGAAATATACATCACCAGGAATGCTGGTAAATATATAAATTTGCGAACTGTATATTAAATTAAAAAATGATTATATATAAATGCACATTTATATAACAGAAGGAGAATATATCTTAATCATAACACTCACCAATTTGACTGGAGATTAAGTTGTATCATACTCAGAAAACCTCACTGTCTATACATGAAAATAACAACTGGCCAGAGTTATAACATAACAGACTTATCTGAGGTTCCTGGAGTTGTCCTGTCCTGTCGCCTGATATCTCAAGTTATGCAGGAATGCACATCCAACAATTTCGCCTCCTATTTGAGAGGTGTCAGCCCAATTTTAACCTCTAGAGCACGAAAATTCCTTCCCATTACACTAACGTTGTATCCAACGGTCTGTGACCAGGCCTCCTGGTGGATCAGAGCCTGATCAACCAGGCTGTTACTGCTGGCTGCACGCAAACGAACGTACAAGCCACAGCCCGGCTGGTCAGGTACCGACTTTAGGTGCTTGTCCAGTGCCAGGTAGGATTAGGCCTTAAATATAGGCGAATATTAGATAACTGGAAACCCAAAAATTAAATAATGAATACGGACGTTAGGTAGACACTAGCGTCAGTTGAAGCTCAGACACCTCACAATGAGAAGACATGACGTGTATAACATCCAGAGAACCAGCGTTAATACACTTGGACTGGGTCGACAAAATCTTAAGAAGCTTACACAAGTACTGTGGCTACTCACCTGTATCCAGGCACACCAGTCCTCCGTTTCCTGTCAGCATAGCTATCCAGTATTACTGCGGGAATGTGGGTTGAGGACGTTTGCGGGATAAACCAGGCGGACAAGCAAACACCTTAAGTCCTTCTCTAATGAGGGACTGAGGGTAAAGGAACATAGTGCTCCATACAACCGAGTTAACCCTTCACTCTTGTAAAGTGTGGAATTTCTTACAAAAGAAGTAGTAACTAGAAATATGTTGTAAGAGCCACTTGTGAGCCTGAGAGGATTAATCTCAGGGTGTTTAGTGTCAACAGCACTTGCCACGGTAGCAGCTTACGTGGGGACAGTTCGCACAGAAATTTCCAGAAAAAAAAAAACAGAATCAGAACCCCTGCCGATAGCATATGGAGCTCACCAAGGTAGTATTCTGGGTCCCTTGTTATTCCTCTGTTAGGTAAATGCCATGCCCATCAGTGTTAGTTAGTTTAATATGTTTATTATGCACCCCATACCCATCCTGTGGGCGGTAGTCAAAAGATTACAGAGGTACATAATTGGTCCAGGGACTGGGCCTCAAAGTTTTGATAGCTGAGCAAGTTACAGAGGTAATGAATTCACAATTTACAAAGGTAATGAACTCTCACAATTTACAAAGGTAATGAACTCCAGGTAGGTCTAGTCACAATCATGACAAGTTACAAAGGTATTTACAGATTACAGAGGTACACAATGGGTCCAGGGACCGGGCTCCAAAGTTTTGATGGCTGAACTAGGTACAAGGTAATGAACTCACAAGTTACAAAGGTAATGAACTCACAAGTTACAAAGGTAATGAACTCACAAGTTGCAAACTCCTACTGTATGCGGATGACAGTGCTCTGTTAGTGTCAGGTAAAGACCCACAAGATAAGATATAGCTAATGTAATAACACATTAACACTGGAACTGAAGTCCTGCAGCGAATGGTTAGTAGACAACAAACTATCGTTACACCTCGGAAAAACAGAAGCCATACGCTTTGGCACTCATTGGAAATAAGAACAACCCCAATGGAAATAAGTCATTCTGTCTTACTTTTTTGGGTTATCCTAGGTTCTTTCTACTCATATGCTGCTATGTATGATAATCAACGCAACTGTATTTGTGTATACCTGAATCAATATACTAAACATAAACTGAGAAGGGTAAATAATAATAATAATAATAATAATAATAATAATAATAATTATAATAATAATAATATCTGTATTTACTACAAGTACATGTAGAAGGTATACAGTCCTAGCTGACATCACTGACATACCACTATATAGAAAGCCCCTTGTTATGCAAAGCATTTCGGGCAAATTAAATCAGTGTCCCAGGATGTAATGGGTAACCCATCACTTCAGTTTCCTCAGTAAAATATCTGGGAATCCCTTTTGAACCATGTATGTAAGGAGAACTGATAAGGAACAGTGTAGTAAAGAAAGGGAATGCCAGACTGAAGTTGCTGTACAAACAAGCACAGTGTCTACCTACTGAGGCTCGCAGGACCCTATGTCTAGCTCTTATACAATGTCATATGGATTACTCTTGACATAAAAAAAAATGATAAACTGCAAATCGCCCAGAACAAAATGATAAGATTCATCCTGGACCTGGGTCCAGGAGAGCATGTACGCTAGGATGAATTACAACAATTGGATATGCTGAATGTTGAAGACAAGAGTAAAACAACTGAAGTTAAATCAGGTTTATAAAATTATTCACAGTGTCCAGAATATCTTTCTACCAACTTTGTTAAGGTTGGGAGCCAAAGCAATCACAGTACTAGGTGGAGACAGCACAACCTTGTAGTACCCACAGTCAGTGGACAGGTTTCAAACACCTTTCATTGTACATCAGTAAAGGAATGGAACAGACTGCCTGCACATGTCAAAGCCAGTTATAGCATGAACCAGTTCAAGAAGAAAGCCAAAAGGTGCCTAATGAATATAGCGACAGAAAGGGAGGAGAATGATTTTTTATTTTTTTAACTATCACAAATGTAAATATTAACTCATTTTACCTTATTCCTAGTACATCTCCTTTATAGTATAATAAAAAGATATGATCTCCTTTATAGTATAATAAAAAAGTATTAAATGGACCCCAATGGAAATGAGTCATTTTGTCTGACTTTGGGTTATTCAGATGTATGGAGGTCCTGACTCTGCTGGGGCTTGGCGAGAAAATTCCACCTCGTCTATTTGGGATCTTCTAATTTCTGTTTCTATTTAGAAAGTGACAACTATTCTCTTATCTTACAAAGTAAAGCGGAGCTGGATACAGCGTAAGCTGTCAGTGGCCCTTGTAAACCCAAGTGACTAAGAAGAAAAGTAGAAAATAAGGAAAGTGACATCTTTTACAGGTACGGTATTCAGTCAAATCAAATTTTGTTTCTTTGCAAGTAGTACATTGAGATTATGTATTTACAATAATGAGCTGCAGTGCAGAGAGAGCCTCTATCATGCCTGGACATTATGGGCAGACTTAATTTAATGGCTTACTGACTACTGAATACTAAAGGAATTTATCATAGTTAATAATAATAATAATATATTTATTTACTACAAGTACATGTATTAGGTATATAGGCCTAGCTGACATCAGTGACATACTATTATATAGAAAGTCATTTGTTATGCTAACTTGTTTAGCTAACATACGTGTAAATTTGACCTTATTCCTAGTAATGACCCTCGTATTGTAGATAGTCTTAATGACCTTGGTGTAGTAGATAGTCTTTTTAGTATGATAATAAGATGTTATCTTCATTGTAGAATAATAAGAAAATATTATAACCTTTATATTATAATAATAAGGTAAAAGGACCCCAATGGAAATAAGTCACTCTGTCTGACTTTTTTGGGTTATCCTAGGGTCTCTACACATATGCTGCTATGTATGATAATTCTATGTAACTGTATTTGTGTATACCTGAATAAACTTACTTACTTAACATTTCGGGCAAATTAGGTCAGTGTCCCAGGATGCGACCCACACCAGTCCACTAACACCCAGGTACCATTTTACTGATGGGGAACATAGACAACAGGTGTAAAAAAAACACGCCCAGTGTTTCTACTCTGGCTGGGAATTGAACCCGGACCCTCGCCGTGTGAAGCTTTAACCACCAGGCCACTAGAACCCCCTGTACAATAGTTCTATTAATTGTAAATGAATCTAATTTATATAAACTAAAGGAAATATTCATATTATTTTCAAAACTGCTTTTTATGAAACATGATAAGATAAGATAAGATAAGATTTCGTTCGGATTTTTAACCCCGGAGGGTTAGCCACCCAGGATAACCCAAGAAAGTCAGTGCGTCATCGAGGACTGTCTAACTTATTTCCATTGGGGTCCTTAATCTTGTCCCCCAGGATGCGACCCACACCAGTCGACTAACACCCAGGTACCTATTTGCTGCTAGGTGAACAGGTGTAAGGAAACGTGTCGAAATGTTTCCACCCGCCGGGAATCGAACCCGGGCCCTCCGTGTGTGAAGCGGGAGCTTTAGCCACCAGGCCACCGGGCCACATGATTCAATTATATTCCTGGGAATATTATATTATGGGTACATAACATTGTGGTTTGCTAAAAGTAGTTTGCAGTATGAGAATGCTATAATTGGGTGTAGGGCAGTACTGTTTTGGGTACCTACACTGACTTCCTACAAATAAATACTACTCACCTCTCTTCCTACATTAAGACTACACATATTTTAAGGTAAATAATGAGTGTACTGTATGTGTATTTTAAATATCATAAGTATGACACAGGGAGCCATGGCTACCTACACCTGACTTCATACAAATAAGTACTACTCACCTCTCGCCCTACATTAAGATTACAAATACTTTAAGATAAGTAATGAATGTACTGTGTATGTATTTTACTTTTTGTGTTTTTAATGCCTAGTTCTATTACTAACTTAATATAATTTAGTGTAAACTTGTTGTCTGGCATTTATATGCATTTATAAATGGAAAAAACGGCGCTCTGCTTTCCAGCGCTTTCCGGCGGTAGTTTGGAACCTAACCCAATGTATAAGTGGGGCCCTACTGTATGCAGTCGTGAATGGATTAACATTATTTATACAATTATTGCAATAAGGCATAACAGTAAATCTTATATTTTTTTGTGTGAATAAAAATTACAAATTATTTATATTGTAATAATAATAATATGTATAATAATAATATGTATAATAATAATATGTATAATAATAATAGTATAATATAATACAATAAAAATAATATACATATAATAATAATACATGTATAATAATAATGTACTACATAATAATAATTATAATAGACGGTTTCAGAAGGCCGTCACTAGATGGCGGTTGTGGCCGCCTCCACTTGTTACATAATGACATATTTTATTCATTCTAGAGTATATATCAGGTTTCTATGTTATTTATATTGTTTATGTCATATTAGATGAAGTGTATTAGATAAATAAGCTGTATACCTGGAGTTTACCTGGAGAGAGTTCCGGGGGTCAACGCCCCCGCGGCCCGGTCTGTGACCAGGCCTCCTGGTGGATCAGAGCCTGATCAACCAGGCTGTTGCTGCTGGCTGCACGCAAACCAACGTACGAGCCACAGCCCGGCTGATCAGGAACTGACTTTAGGTGCTTGTCCAGTGCCAGCTTGAAGACTGCCAGGGGTCTGTTGGTAATCCCCCTTATGTGTGCTGGGAGGCAGTTGAACAGTCTCGGGCCCCTGACACTTATTGTATGGTCTCTTAACGTGCTAGTGACACCCCTGCTTTTCATTGGGGGGATGGTGCATCGTCTGCCAAGTCTTTTGCTTTCGTAGTGTATAGATGATATTAGCGAAATTATTCAAGAAGTACAGTGGTCCCTCGGCCAACGATGGCATCACCTTACGTTAAATCCAGCATACGATACATTTTAACGCAAAAATTTTGCCTCGTCTCATGCTAAAAAACTCACCTCACGCGAATCGTCCGAGACGCGTCCCACGTGTGGCCTGAGCACGCCTCAGCTGCCCCGTGGGTGCCAGTGTTTACAAGCCAGCCAGTGTGGTCGCATCCATGCATACAATCAGAACATTTCATATTATCACAGCATTTTTAGTGATTGTACCTGCAAAATAAGTCACCATGGGCCCCAAGAAAGCTTCTAGTGCCAACCGTGCAGTAAAAAAGGTGAAAATTACTATGGAAATGAAGAAAGAGATAATTGCTAAGTACGAAAGTGGAGTGCATGTCCCGGAGCTGGCCAGGTTGTATACCAAACCCCAGTCAACCATCGCTATTATTGTGGCCAACAAAACAGCAATCAAGGAAGCTGTTCTTGCAAAAGGTGCAGTTTTCGAAACCGAGATCGCAAGCACTCGAAGATGTTGAGAGACTGTTATTAGTGTGGATAAACGAAAAACAGATAGCAGGAGATACCATCTCTCAAGCGATCATATGTAAAAAGGGTGGGAAATATGTACTGTCGTACCATTATCGTACTATCGTACAATAATTTCAGCATACGATGAGCATTCAGGAACGGATTAATATCGTAAGGTTGGGGTCCACTGTACAACAATAAATACCATACAAAAATACAGTGCAAAGTCGCTGTTTTAATCCAAAAACATGGTCAAAGTTTTTTTTTTCTTCATTACACACTGTGTGCTGCAGGATTTTTTTTTATACTGCGCACACTGACCACATAGACCCAGATTTGAGGGCGCTAGAATTTAGACATAGTATTACGTCAAAAACCCTGGTGCGTAAGCCATACTAGTACGTCTGAAACTCTGAAAGGGTTAAAAAATGTATTTTTTGTGAATATTTTTGGGTGTCTGGAACAGATTAATTGTATTTACATTAATTCTTATGGGAAATATTGCTTTGAATTTAGGCTGTTTCGAATTTAGGCTGACCTGGAATGGATTACGGCCGAAAAACGAGGTTCCACTGTATTTGCAACACTGATTCCCTTTACACCCTATCATCTGCCTTTTCTAAATGCATAAAAGCAACAAAGAACTCTTTGCCCTTATCTCACCTTCAAGGACCATAACATTGTATCAATTGCATCTGCTAGAAAAATGACAGGATGGATAATGAGAACCTTCAAAACTAGGGAGGCCAAGCCCATGATGACACTCTTCAGGTCACTTGTTCTATCTAGGCTGGAATATTGCTGCACTCTAACAGCACCTTTCAAGGCAGGTGAAATTGCCGACCTAGAAAATGTACAGAGAACTTTCACGGCGCGCATAACGGAGATAAAACACCTCAATTACTGGGAGCGCTTGAGGTTTCTAAACCTGTATTCCCTGGAACGCAGGAGGGAGAGATACATGATTATATACACCTGGAAAATCCTAGAGGGACTAGTACCGAACTTGCACACGAAAATCACTCACTACGAAAGCAAAAGACTTGGCAGACGATGCACTATCCCCCCAATGAAAAGCAGGGGTGTCACTAGCACGTTAAGAGACCATACAATAAGTGTCAGGGGCCCAAGACTGTTCAACTGCCTCCCAGCACACATAAGGGGGATTACCAACAGACCCCTGGCAGTCTTCAAGCTGGCACTGGACAAGCACCTAAAGTCAGTTCCTGATCAGCCGGGCTGTGGCTCGTACATTGGTTTGCGTGCAGCCAGCAGCAACAGCCTGGTTGATCAGGCGCTGATCCACCAGGAGGCCTGGTCACAGACCGGGCCGCGGGGGCGTTGACCCTCGAAACTCTCTCCAGGTAAACTCCAGGTGTATTATTCAGTATTATGATTCAGTGTAAACACTTTGGTCTTCACATTCCCTACCCTTATTATATCCTCTTTGCTCCTCTGCAATCCTATTTTGTCTACCCCTGACTCCGTCAATAATAATTCTACCGTAGACTTGACCTGGAATACTCAACATGCTTATCTCCTTTTAATTCTTACATTCTCTCATACATTCTCTCTTACATTCTCTGCATACTCTCTGCCAATCCTTGGGTATGTCTCCATCTTTCATGCATATATTGGAGAAATACACCAACCACTCAAACGTTATATGTCCACCTGCTTTTATTATTTCTGTCTTTATCCTGTTGACTCCCGTTGGTTTACCCTATTTTGTGCTACCCATTAACTCGTGCACTTTTCCCCACATCCACCTAAGGCTCCTCCTCCAGTCATGTACAAGCTTTTCTTCCCTGTACAGTGTGTGGAATGAATACCTTCCTTTCATCAATAACATTCAAAAACTTGTCAGAATATTCTCTCCATCTTCCCAGTACTTGCACTTGCTCATCTGTTTTCCCTCTTGTTTCTCCTTCATATGCCATTTTAGTTATTATTTATTTTCATCTCCCTTTAGATACTAAAATTGTCCTTAGTTG